TTTTGCTTTTTAGAAAAGTTTTATTGTTCAACATATACACAGAAAATTTAGCATATGTGTATTCTATATACATATATATTCAAAAAATAAAACAATTATGTAATTGTGACCAGTTACAAATAGAGCAATATTAGTGCTATTGTATTCCCTTCCCTACCTTACCGCTACCATTTTAAACAAAGGATAGCTATTGATTATCCTGACTTTCCTGATTTTATTCTTTTATTTTCCATCAGTCTATCACTTATGTAGGCATCCCTAACATTGTATTTTTAAAGGCTATCATTTTTAACTTTATATAAATAAAGTAATTTGAAGGATATTCTGCAACCTCTTTTTAGATAATCTGTGATATTCGTCTATGTCAACGTGTGTAGCTTTAATTTGTTTATTTTCTTGGCTATATACAATTCCATTTTATACCTTAATTCCTATATTTAATTGGTTGTTGCAGAATAAGTGAATTGTTTTCAGATTTTTTTTATTATTGCTGTTGTTACTAACACAGTGGTGCTGTGAATATGCTTGTACAGTAGCTCCTGGTCCACCCCTAAGAACAAGTCTTTAGGACACATATCTTGTAGTAAAATTGCTACACTGTAGGATATGGTGGGGACTCCTCATTATTATCTAGTTTCTTATTCCATAAAAGTAGAGGGTTGGAAAAGATATTTCCCAGGCCTCTTGCAGTCATTCACAGTAACTTCAGCTTGTTCTTGCTTGTGGAATCTAAGTGGAAGGAAGTCAGACGCTTCCTGGTCCATGCTGTCTGTACTCTCTGCTCTCCCTGCTACCGGACATTGAAGCTTCTGCAGTGTGGTCACGCAGAATTGGAAAATGGCCTAAAATGTGAGAATCCAACAGTTCTTCTTACTGCAGCTCTTGTCTCACGTTGCTATTGGTAGCCATTTAAAATTTTCCAGTTCTAGTGGGTGTTAAATGTTATCTCACTGAGTTTCAGGTTTCATTTCCTTGATTATTTTCTCATGTGATTTGCATTCAAAGTCCTTCTGTAAAATTTATGTTTTAAGTATTTGGCCCATGTCTTTACTTGATTGTTGTCTCTTAATAATTTGTCAGAGTTTTTAATAATTCAGGCGGATATGCTGGTCTTTAATCCATTATACATGTTGCAAGTTATAATGTAGCACTTTCATTGTCTTTATGGTGTACTGGTGATACTTTCGTTTTAATGAATGTCCTAGATACTTCCTTTATTACTTATGTTTTCTTTCTTTTTTATTTTATGGAAAAAAGTGAAACAAAATTTTGAAATGAAATAATAGGAGACCAACAGTTAATACACTCAATATTGCTATGTTTAAAGTAATTACTCAAGAGTACAAGATATGGGTACAAACAATTTTCCAAATGATATTAGCACAAAACTTTCTTTTCAGTGAGCTAAGAGAAGCTAATAGGATAACTATCTTGTATGTTTCTTTTTCTTTTCCCTTCCTTCCATTTCCCTTCCCCCATCCTAGTTTCTTTTTCCTTTACAACAGTTTCTTCCCATTTCACAGTATCAATTGTACCTTTTGAACCTTATTTACTCTTTCAGTTTCTCACATCAGGGAGACAATACAGTACTTACATATGTGAGTCTGACTTATTACACTTATGAGTGTGGTCTCAAGTTGCACTCATTTACCCATAAAAGTCTCAAGTTTATCCTTCTTAATGGCTGAGTACTATTCCACTGTATAAAAGGACCACATCTTTTTTTATCCTCTCCTTGACTGATGGTCATTTGGACTGCTTCCAAGATTTAGCTATTACAAATTGTCCTGCTATAAATATGAGTGCACCTATATCTTTGAGAAAAAGGCCAAACATGTTCACTGGAAGAAGGATAGCCTCTTTAATAAATGGTGCTGAAAAACCTGGCTTTCCACATACTGAAGACTAAAACTAGACCCATGTCTATCACCACACACTAAACCAAAGTCAAAAAGGATCAAAGATCTAAATAGTAAAACAGAAACACTGAGATCTACTGTAAGAGAAAATAGGTAGAAATCTTAAAGACATAAATATAGGCAGAAAATTCATGAATAAAACCCAGATCAGATGGTGGATACTTCAAAGAATCAAAAACTGGGATCTCATCTTATTAAAAATGTTTTGCACATCAAAAGAAATCACCAACAGAGTGAAAAGAAAGCACAGAATGAGAAAAAATTTTAGCCAGTTGTCCCTCAGACAAAGGACTTTATCTAGAACATATGAAGAACTGACAAAAAATCAGGCCCCCCAAATTCAAAGACCCAATGCAAAAATAGGCATCTGAGATGAATATACACTTCTCAGATGAAGAAATACAAAAAGCAAGTAAATATATGAAAAAATGTTCAACATCGTTGGTCATTCAAGAGACGCAAATTACAACAGTGAGATTCCATTTAACCCCAGAAAGAATGGCTATCATTAAGAAATCAACCAATGACAAATACTGGAGATGCTGTGGGGAAAAAGGAACACCTCTCCACGTTTGTGGGTGTGCAGACTGCTGCAACCATTGTGGAGATCAGTGTGGAGATTCCTCAGAAAAATAGTATTAGAGGTCGCATTCAACCCAACTATTCCTCCTCTAAGTACCTTCCTGGAAGAACTAAAGACATACCACAGTGATGTATATGCAGCTATGCTGATAGTAGCACAATTTTTATTAGCTAGTTCTTTCTTTTTTTGACACTGTGTAAAAATTATTTTTCCTAATAGCATGAAGATATTCAGTTAGGATTATCTAAAATCTAAGCTAATAATTTTTGCCTTTGGCCCAAGTGTCACTCACTCCATTTCTGATATGCTTCTTTTTACAAAAGACTAAAGGGTTGAGTTAAAATCACAAATAAAACTAGTACCCTATTCACTTATGTGAATACTATCATTCGTATATACTGAGGGAGCATATTGTATTGTGTTGTATTGTTTTGTATTGTGGGAGAATATTGGGTGCATACATTGAAGATATTGCTCCAAAAGTTACCTTAGTGATAGTCAATATAAATAAATGTCAAACCATGCTTTTAAACCTACCTTATTAACTCATGTTCAGAACAAACCGAACCTGTGTGATAAATGCTTCGTGTGAAAAAGATGAGGAGTTCAACCCTGTGGGTGAGAAGCTAGACATGCTTCCAATTGTGTGGCAAGGTTGCTAAGAAATCTAATGACATCTCAGATTTCATTAGAAAGAGAATGTCCAGGTCATAGGAGACAGCGTCTCCCCTGTTGCCTGCACTCATTAGATGACAGTGAAACTGTGACAACTTACTCTGGTGCTACTCTTGAAGAGGCACAGAGGTAAGCTGGACTTTATCTCAAAGAGGGAAATAAAGATGGTAACACGGCGGGAAACCAGAGTAGAGAAATACAGTTGAAGGAACTGGGAATTATTAGATTGAAATGCACATGTAGATGCACTATAATTATTGCTTTTAAGAATATAAATGCTGTTTTATCAAAGAGAAAGTGTGTGTGTGTATGTGTGTGTGTGTGTGTGTGTATTCTATAGTGCTCCAGGTAAATACCAGGACCAATGGATAGAAGTATAATAAAGCAGATTTAAGGTAATTACAAAGGACTTTATAGCTGGACAATGTATCTTCAAAAAGACCTGATTGACCGAAGAATGCAATAGTCTCCTTTTCCAATATTGATGGCATTGAAATAGAATCTGAATGATCATTCATCAGAGATGTTACCAGTAATAGCTAATATCTATTACTGAATATTACTGGTGAGAAATTATTTAATGTGCTTTGTCTGCATTTTTCCGCTTAATCCTCACAGTGGCCCTAGGAGATGGGAACGATTTTGTCATCATTCTTTAATGAAGGGTCTGAAGCTTAGAAAGGTTAAGTCATTTGCCCAAAGTCACACAATCTGTAAAAGGCAGGAAGCACATCCATCTTGTGTCCGGAGACTGGATTCTCACCCACACCGCTGCTCGTTTGTCGATGCTGTGCAAAGATTTGCTGCCCTTGGAGAGGAACTGTACAATGTGGCTTTCTAATTCTGAGACCGCTTGGTTCTAAAAAGTTAAAAACATATTTCCTTGGAAGCACAAAACCGTATGGAAAGCAGACACCAGAGGGAACGGGGTAGGTAACATTTAATGAGGGAAGAAAGAGTCTGGAAAGATCATAAGTGTAGGCATTGGTCCAGGAAAAGCACATACCTGACAGGTTGAAGGCAAAGGTTACACACACATGGGAGAGAGGTGCTGGGGGGAAGAGGAAGTAGCAAGGACATGAGGCAGAAAAATCTCCCTGCCTTACCGAGGCATCACTCAGTGATCTGAAATGAAGTTCCACGCACCACCGTTTGATGCTAGTCAAGAACTCAGAGAAAAAAGGAAGGACTATCACCTCCCCACTAAATGTCAAGGGCTCTGTAAAGAGCTGACTTTCATTAATTTTCTTGCAAGTAATTAAATAACATTCCTTTAAAAGAAACTAGCCAGAAAGATGGTAATTGGATCCAAATGGACATTGTTAAAGTTTGCATTCATGCATGCATTCACTTAACAAATATTTATCATGTGCCTTCTAATTGCTAGACACTTTTCTAGGTTCTGGAAATAAACAGGGAACTGAAAATACTCCCTTACTCCACCCCAAAGCAATTCCCTACATTCACTGACTATATTTTCTAGGGCACACACACACACACACACACCACGATTATGTAAAGTTTAAGATATATTTAATCATTACAAGAGATAAAGAGATGGAGAATTGCAAGATTGCAAGTCTGAACCCAGCCTGGAAAATTTAGTGATTTAGCAAGATTCTGTCTGAAAATGAAAAATAAAAATGGGAGGGGTGTCAGAATGTAGCTCATCGTGAAGGCCCTGAGCTCAGGCCCCAGTACAAGAATGAGGGGGGAGATTGTGGAGAATTCTTGAAATTTTATAGACTTCTAAGTATATGAAGTTTAAAAAGAGAGAAAACGGTCAAGAAAAGAGGATGTGTTCAGGCCTGCGCAGCTTAAGCTTGTGCTTATGAATCACAGGCCCTCTGCAAGGTCCTGTGGCCATGTTAAAAGGCCAGTGGACAGATCACTTCCCTGGTCTTTGCCTCATTTCCTCATCTTTAAAGTGGAAATCCTAATATTAGCTCTCTTGACCACACGAGTTGGGTTTGTGTTTCTGATCTGCTCCTGATGAATTTGAATGTGGTCTTCAAAATGTAAAACAATATATGCACGTAACTTAATTTTGAAGACTCTTCTCTGGCTCTGCGATATATATATGTATAGATATATTCATACGCACGTATATATGTGGGAGTGCACATGGGGGAGCCAGGAGAGAAACTTTCTTTTCTATTGAAAGTAGGGATATGAGACTGTCTCATACTATATATGACCAGCCTAGTTACAAATTCTGACAAAAATAAATGTTCCTGTGGTGGAAACTCAATGCCCAGGTCTTTGGAAGCTCCCTGGAGCCTCTAGACAGAGCTGGGGCAGCATACCTCTTCCCCATTCAGTCTCCTTGGATTACCAATGACATTGCGAGGCTCCTTCAATCAGCTCCTGAAACGCTGGTTTCCATCCTGCATCCAAAAGACTCAACCACACGGAACCTGTCAACTGCGCTTAGGGTAATAAATCTTCTCTGCACCAGTCCTCCTGACATTCTAGTGCCTTCCTGAACATAATAAAAAGGTCATTTTCCACCTGAGTTCATCTTCTCCGTGCTGCCTTATATTTCTGCAAATTCAAGTTTCAACAAGTTTGATTTCATTCCTTGTACAGTATTTTATTTGCTTTAACCAAGCTAAAAATCCCAACTGCCACCCGAAGCGCTACTCTAATAGCTTGAATGGGGATTATGTTTTATTGGCTGACTGTATAATGTGGATACATCTGAAAGCTGAGCTGCTCCTTTTTCTTGAGTGACAGAGAATTAAATGCTCCTTTTCAGATATTGCCCTAGGATTCCTTATGATTTTGTTGCTCACACCAATTCAATAATTTTCTGTGTATCAGTTACGCCAAGGTCAGCGTTCTCTCCTAAATATGAAACAACTCCCAAGCAGCTCTGAGACACAAGCAGGTCTTAGGGTCTGCAGTCATCTCAGCAGTACTGTGAAGTGTTTCTCAATCCTGTCTGGGTTTCCAGGGGGGCAATTCAAATAGTAGGCTGCGAGGAGTTACACATTCCTGACTGCTGAGGAATCCCTTCTAGTAAAAATACCAGTATTTATTTTGGGTAGGTTTAGGTGTTGATTTAAAAGCGATTATCATTTCTGCAAGACAGTATCTAGATCCATATATAATGAAGTTTTTATTGTTGCTTTCTCAGGAGGTGGGAGGGTTCTCTACCAGGAGCGTCCCCAAGCCCACGCCTGGAAAAACCTTGGACTCCTTACCGGTGCGGATGGGTAAGTGACATGTGCGTGCTTGCTTATTTTAACATATCTGTGACTCTCATCTATGTAGATGACGGTGTCCAGTTCCCCAAAATAATGAGTCAAGGGCATGTGATCAGCACAACCCGCAGCGATCTTTTCACTGGGAAGAACCCAATCCCAGGATGATTCGAAGGGACCACGCCTTGAGGGTCCCCCGCTGGGCCATCCTGGGTCCAGTGCCCTGAGCTGGTCGTGCTCTGTGGGGTGTAAGATAATGACCTTGGCCGTGGAATTCCCTCTCTGCCATCCAGGGCAGTTTGTTGAAGAGGAACAGCAGCTGCACCCTTTGAGAGCCTGCCACCTCCCCGGAACTTTCAGAGACGTCCAGGTTTTACTGTGAAACCCAGCGAGCGGGTGATTGGCAGGCAGACCGCGGAGGCCCCTCGGGAAGCGCGGGCGGGGGCACAGCCTTGCGGGCCTGGCTACCAGCGCAGCCCCGGCTGAGAAGGGAAGCTGAGCGCGGCTGAGTCCACCCAGCGCGAGCTACCGGGCAAACAGAGGCGGCAGAAGCGTAAAAAAAGCAAGCCTTAGTTGATCTACTGTCTTCTATTTCTTTGCTGAAAGAAACAGTTAATGAGTCCTTGGTTGATCAATATTGCATGTCTATATCTGTTTTCATGACAAACCACTTTGAAGCTATCAATATGTCATACAACAAGCATTGTTCATTTCCTACCACTTTGTAACTCGGTATCGTCTGTACTGTTCTTTTGCTATTTTGTAAAAGGTTGTCTGTCTGTTAATGTTTTCCTCCTTTTATTTTTAAAATAAAAATAAATAAAAAAAGGAAGCCTAGGCCGGGGCTCTGGGGCTGAAAGGAGGAATCCGCGGGCCGAAGGGAAGAATAACGGGAAGGGAAGCTCTCTCTTTACTTTGCTTTTGTTGGTTTGGTTTGGTTTTTCCCAGTGCCAAGCTCAGAAGGGAATCAGCGGCGACTCTGGCACGGGGAGCACCCATTATTTAATTGAAGCAAAAGAGCGGGTGTCTTTCTTCTTCTTTAAAATAAATGTAGGTAGGGCCGAGGATGTAGCTCAGTGGCATAAGCGCCTGCCTGTCAAGAGCAAGGTCATGAGTTCGATCCTCGGTTCCGTAAAAAAAATAAAATAAAATAAATGTAGGCGCGCCTCCCCGCTCTTCCTCTGCTCGTCACCCGGACACCCTTCCACCGCGTCCCTCTCTTAATCCTCCACCGGTCTCCGCACCTACGGCTGTCCCAGTGCCTTGTCCTGCGCAGCGGAGGAGCGCGCCCAGCCCGCCGCCCCGGGCTGTCCTCGGAGGGCGAGGCCTCCGGGCTCTCCGGAACGCACGTCTTCCCTCCCCTCGCTCGCGTTCCAACCCCTCCCCGAGCTGCTGTTGGCCTGCGGGCTGTGCGAGGACTTCAAAGCGGTTTTGTTTTGCTGCCCTTAAATCCAAAGCTGGAGCGCGCCCTGGGCCCACGCTCAAGACTTGCAATCAATTGGAACACCTCGCCCCTCCTCCCTCTTTAAAGCCTGTTTCAATGCTTAGTAATAAAAACCAACATCACTCAAAGCCGTGGAAGAAGGTGCTTTGCGGATAGCGCGCGCTCTCAACAGGACTCTGAATCATTCCCTCTCCTTTCCCTCGTCTACCGTCTGTCTTCCGTGAGCCCCTGGGTTTCTGGCACCCCAGGTTATTTAACACTGTGACTTCGGCATGAGAAAAGGTCTGGTTTTAGTCGCTTTAGCTTTGCTATAGGGTCACACAGAGGATCACCAATTATTCATTCAGCAAACACGCTCATTCACTAAGTGCCAGATATAAAAGAACACACACCCAGGGGCTAAAAATAGGAATAAAATTTTTTGTGTCCACTTTTCTCTTCTCTGTGCTCTACTATATCTTCCATCATAATTATCATCACTGTAATCATTTCCAATAATATTCTTTGAGCTCTTAGTATGTGGCAAGCATTGGGACAGGAACCATGCATACGTTTCGTCATTTAATTGTAAGGATCCTATAAGTGATACATTAGTTCCATTTTATAGGTGAGAAAAGTAAGGATTAAAGAGCTTACACAGCTTCTTCAAACTCATATATCTCAGGTGTGTTGATGCAGGTGTTTGTAAACCAGACAGTCTGACTCCAGACTTGTAGCTCGTCCTTCCTAAGGAGTCACTGTTGAGCAGAGCAGTCAGACGTGTAAACAGACAAATATATCAAAGAGGTAAGTGCTAGAGTTGTAGAAAGAAATCCAGCGGCGGCAGTGACTAACACTGCCTGGGGGAGTCGGGAAGGCTCACCAGACAACTGGCCCTGTGAGGTGGGTCCTGGGATGTGAGTAGGAGTATCCCAAGCAAACAAAGGGATGGGAGTGGGAGGTAGGTTTCAGGCTAAGGGGACCTCGTATGCATATACCTCATATGCATAGCTGAGAAAGGCCGCCTTGGTTTGTTTAGGAAACAGTGCCTGAGCATAGAGTTCATGAGAGAATGCTCTAATATGAAAACGAAGATGCAGAAAGGCCAAGACCTTCAGCCATCTGGCTAGTAAGTGTAACTTTTATAGCGAAGGTAAGATGACTGCAGCACAGATTTTAAAGACAGAAAGAAATGAAATCAAATCAATGTGTTGTGGGTTTGTCTGTCTGTCTCTCCGTGTGTCTTAAGACAGCTACAAGTCTGGAGAACTAAGAGAAGAGCTCAGTGGTAAGAACTCCAGTAATAAACTTGGCACATGGATGTGAAAGATGAAGAAGGCATGGACTAGAGGCAGTGAGATGGAAAGGATGAACTTTTGTTATCAAAAAAAAAAAATCAGTGTTAAAAAGCTACTATCTATTTGTAGAATAAGTTTGTAGGTGCAAAGAAGTTTACACAGAAGAAAGTCCACCAACCAGCCCTCATACTTTATAGGTATAATCAAAATATATGAAGCTTAAGAAGATTAAAACCGCTCAGTCTGCTGGGGAAGAATGACAGTAGTCAACTTTTATATACTGCCTGCTGTCTACCTAGTTAAGGTCCTTTGATTCCTTTGAGCTTGACGACCACTTTCCAGGGTAAATGCAACGCTACCCTGAACTACACTCAACCTATGAAGGGCTGAGATTACTAACTCAGTGAAGTATGCATAAATAATTAGTGACAGAACTGGAATTCGAAACTAGAGATATATCTGGTTCCAGATTTTGTGCAGTTTTTCGCTACATGCTGAGATTGAAATTTAGATGTTCTTAGTCCCAGTCTAGCACCCTCTTTACTAGTCAGTGCTGCCTTTATTCTCTGCTAAGTGCATCTCAAGTATTACTGGGCAAAGTATTATGACTGACTATATACTGACTATATACTCTACGAACATACCCTAAACTAGCATTTATTGTAGATTCACTCTTCACTGAGCAGCCTAAGCAACATATGATGCTCTTGATTTTTAGAGCTAGGAGTTTTATGGCAAAAGAAAGTGCAAAACACAAATGATACCAAAGTGTAATCAAGAACAAATAGAATGATGCCTGGCGTAGACATGAAAGATTAAAGGCTATTGAAGAAGCAGCTAAAGTTATTCAGCATTTTGCTATGTCGGAGGATTCCGCGTATCATTTTTACTGGAGAAAACTGCCTTGGAAAAATGAAATATCTTGCTCAGTGTCACATAAATCCTAAATGGATGAGCCAAAACTTAAGCAACAGTTTGTCTTACATCAAATCCAGGTTCCTAAGTGCATTGTGTTGGTGATTAGTACAGCAGAGCTCAATTCCATGGATCCAGGTCCTAAAATTTAAGAAATCTCTGCTGTATGGTTTTTGGTCTTTCTTTCTCTCTTCTTTTGTCTCTTTTTTACTCTGTCTCTCTCTGTCTCTGTCTCTCTGTCTCTTTGTCTCTCCTTGTCTCTGTCTCTCTGTCTCTTTCTCTCTCCCTGTCTCTGTCTCTCTCTGTCTCTCTGTCTCTCTATCTCTCTCTCTGTCTCTCCTTCCTATACTGAGAACTGAACTCAAAGACTATACTGAACTCCATCTCCAGCATTTTTTTAAAATTTAATTTGAGAAAGGATCTCACTGAGTCACTAAGTTACCCAGGCTGGGCTCCAACATTCCATCCTCCTACCTAGTCTCCCAGAGTGCTGAGGTCACAGATGATGCGCACCCGCTGGCTAATTTCCAGTATCTATAGGGCATGAATAACCACACAGTGGTGGCTTTCAACCCACCAGCATGACACCACTGGAGGCAGCGCTGAGACGAGATGTGTGTATAATCAGCTCTAAAGGTCTGTAGCAGGCAACTGTACATGGAGGAAGAGATATTTCAGCAACATTCTAGAGGCCAGGAGGGAGACAATTGGGTTAATTCTTGGACAAATAGGAGATATTGAGAGAAGCCTGGAGTAAGGATTAGTTTAGTCTCCAGCAAGGTAGGCATTTTGAGCTAATTGCAGTTGGATCAAGTAGAAAGATTGATTTAGAATTGACTGACCATGGCTTCCTTAAAATCTTCCCTCTTGAGTGTTGGCAATTTCCTTGAAGAAGACCTAAATATTGATTTAATCTAGCTAAAACTTTTTCTGGGCACTTGTCTTAATGACTACTAAAATTGAAGACATCCTTAAAAGACTGGAAGCAAACCTAGATAATTCCAAAAAATTGGCCAACGTGAATTTCTGGCTATTTCTGTTCTCTTCTTGCTTCTTATGATGAGAACAGGAGCAGGCTGATGAAAGTAATATACTGATGGAAAATGAGCCCTAGGAAAAACATGTGGAAAATACAATTGAAAGAGTCACTTGGTACTTACCTTGAAAATCTCCTTAGTCTATGAGTGGCTCTTAGAGTGTACCTTGGATTCACCTTGTGTCCAAAAAAACCCCACATATACTTGGAAAGATCACAAAATGTTTAGTTTGTCACTTTATTTTACATCTTTCTAAGTATGAAACAGTAACAATACTTCTCTTATTCTGACATAATTATACACTGTAGATAGTAAGGAGGAAAAAATGTTACCTGATATCTGCAAATAATGCTTGCTTTCATTCTGAGTCAATAATCTAGCCCTATAAAGGGGAAAGGTTGAAAAAAATTAGGTTTACCAGCTGCAAAGGATTTCTATTTCTTTTTCCTTCTGCTAATCAAAAGATTCTGTTATGCACAGTCTGGACAGAAATGCGTATTAGTTCTAAAAATCAATACAAAATAATATAAGGAAATGAATCTGGTGTCTGTTGGTTTTGTCTGCTCACTAGGACATGGTTCCCTGCTCTTGTGACTTTGTGATGCTTCAAACATGCTCTGTACCTCTTCCCAGGTACACGTATGACTTCCCAGGGTGGGTATACGACTCCCTGGACAATCATGATACTAGGTCATCTTGTTACCATAAATCACTCAAGAAATGGATAGAACCAATTACACCTGTTTTTATGAGTGGATCTCTCTTTAGAATTTCCGTTCCTGTTGATATAGGCTTGGGTCTTCAGCTAAGTGTCTAATATGGAGGACGCTGGGCTGCCACAGAAGACGTTGAGAAAATAGTCAAAGATGAGCAAAGGCACGTACGGCTAAGACAGGAAAAGAAAGAAAAATTTTCAGTTGCTTTGCTCAAGTGCTTCAGCTCTT